TCACATGATGTCTTACTTGAAAGACAAAAACATGTCCAGATTTCCTATTTTATATATATATATGATTTAGGCATACGCTGAATATAAATAATCTCCTTTTTTGAATATTTACATTCTTATCTAACTATAGCTGCCTTAACCCTGCGTGAACTCTAGCTATGCAAAAGTGAGATGCATTTTAACTGAGCGGCGTACACTGCAATTAAATGAACATTTTAAGTTTTTTCTCCACACAGAAGTGCTGTAAAATAGTATATATACTGTATCTTTTTAAAAGTAATGTTAGTAATTTCAATATGGTCATAATTGTTAAATACCAATTTACATATCAAATATATATAAATGATAAATGTTCACATAAATGTTAAATATCAAAATCTTGATTATTTGAGCACTAAAAAATATATAAATGTTAAATGCTGAGTCACTGCACATTAACTAAAAGAATGACTCATTCATGTTAAATGGTATACCACTTATTTTTAGTTAATTTTATATCATATCAGTAATTTTCTTGCTCTGATACAAGCCTTTGCACTCATTTTACTGTCACGCAAACATTAGTTATCCCATAGCTAGAGAATGTAATCTAGAATATATTTTTAATACCTTTTTTCAACTGAGCAATGGCCTTGGTGATTTGTTTGTAAGAAAAAGTGCAAAGAGCAAACATGTATTTATAAAACACCTTTTCAAATTGGAAGCTATATTAACACACCATACTTAAACCAAACAAGGCATAAATGCATTTGCAATCAATAATTCAAAGTAAGAGAGTCCTTTAAAATCATCACATTCAAAATAAAATTAGATACAAATCTATTTTAATAATATTCTGGTATAACACAGGACCAGTAAGAGAGAACACTGGGACACCCAGGTTTTGACAAGTGCTTTGTTACGTGACTTCAAAGACAGATCTGAAAAGGAACTGAGGCACTATAACACTGCAGTATCGAACTGCAAAGCGCCTGGCCCACTGAACAAAATCCAGGGCCTTTTTTAGATGCTTCAACTTTTGTACACAAAAAAAGGGAGAACTAATTATCCTAGGCTGTGAACCAGTTTAAGGGCAGAATACTGCATTTTCCAACAGGAAAATCTGAGAACAGCACATTTGCTAGATCTTTTCCCTTTTAAGTTCACACAGCTTCCCTGCAGCCCCAGGCTCAGCAAAAGATTCATCTCCCTTGAGGATCCACTTTTTCAAGAGTTTGATCTCACAAACAAGGCACAGTCACACTCTCCTTTAAAAACATGAGGTGCAGAGCAGTTGCAACTTCCCTTTAATATACTATTTAACTCCACAGGGCACTTATCCTGGAGGTGTGAGGGTTATACACTTTCAGTTCTCTCTTACTTCAGAGGTAGTATCCTGAAAAACACAAGTATCACCAGACTTCATGATACTCTGCTTGGGGAACTCTCCACTCCTTACCTCTTGAAGGTAGGAAGGAGACTACAAACATGACATGGATTGGTTAGGAGGGCTGCCTAGGTTGGAGGGAGTCATGTTCTAGTTTCTGCCTCAAGAACTGCGGAAGACTTTTATCTGCAGATTGTCCAAGGAAACAATTTCCCATTAGTAAATGTGGGAGTTGCAGCATTGCAGTTTTAGTAACAAGCACTTAAATTTCCTTCTATTCTTTTAGTGCTCACAGGAGTTTTTTGGGCACTCAAATCCCAGATGGATATCTAAAGAATAAGTCTTTTGAGTTAAGAAAGTAATTCCCAAATTTCAAAACTAATGTCAGTAAAATTATGTAGGATGCATAATGTGAAGCACGAAGCCCCAATGGTTTTACTGCAAATCACTCAAGGGTTTTTGGTTGGACCTCTATAGATTTTGTTTTTCAACTAGTTCAAATGGTTGATTTTATTCAACAATCAGCAAGATTTGCATTTGCTAAAAGGAGCAACAGCTGTAACTGTTGTTCTGTCCTTACTGTTCCACATAATAATGTTTGAAGAAATAGAAATAAAAACAAACTGAGATTTGAATTTGTACAATTTGTACAATTTCTGTGCTAGATCTGGTTGAGACATGAAGAAAAAAAAATCTGCTGGGAACAGAGGAGGATGGTAAGTTACTAATTATGTCTCTTGGTACCTGTTTTGTGTACTAATCAAAGGTCTAATTGCTTTGCTCTATTTTAATTAACAATGTTCTTATTTTAATTAGTTATTTTTTCCTGCATACATTAGCATCGAGAGAAATCACTGAGGATAGTATTAATGATGAAGAGTTTCAAGTTAAGCTTTTTAAAATGTTTTAACAATTTCACAAGTGTTTAATAATGAAAAATAAAGCTGATCTTCATAAACATGGATACTACTTCTCCAAAGATTTCATCCTAGCCCCCAAAAAAGTATTCTTTTTTCTTTTAACTTAAAAAGTCAACTGGTATCAAACATAATTAACGTGGGTGCCAAAACAGCTAATGTCGGAATATGAAAGGTTTGATGGTATTTAGATATGCTAAAATGTTGAAGCTGGCCGAATCTTTTGAAACATCCCAGTGCGACAGCCATTCTCTTGAGAACCAATCTCAACAACATTATTAGCAATTATCTTTGAAACTTGAGGAACTTTATCTTCTTCCCTAACAGAGGCTGAGAAACAGCAAACAGCACTCTATGAAAGAACTGGAGAACTCATATAAATTGTTCCAATTCCTGAGAAGGTATTAGAACAAATAAACTTTATGGAAGTACTTTAATTACCAAGGACATATGTAGCAACTGTTGTCTTTTTCCTATGAACTGTTTTTGACAAATGTGTTCACTTCCTCTGTGGGGCAGGGAACAGGCTTGGTATATAGGGAGAACTATAAATCCTCAAGTTCTGGATATAGCCCAGCCTAATGTTCTTGCAGCCACCTAAGAATGGTTATGAAACTCCTAGTACTGTTACACTGCTGGTTACAAAACCACACACGGTAGTTAGTAGTTCAGTATCAAAGTGGCAATTACCAAGTGAGATTCTGCAGAGGCCTGTTCTGAGTGTGCTTACTCAAAGTCATAAATGAAACACAAAATATATTCATTAAATGTGAGGATAACAGCAAAATGGAAATGTCTGAAAAACACAGTAGCAGATCATTACAATTTGTTTTGAAAAAATTAGGATGTAATTCAATAAGGACAAATGCAAAGTGCTACATTTGGTAGCAATAATCAACTGTTCAAATACTAAATGCAATGGATACAAACGTAGGAAAAATTGGCAGTGTTTTCAGAAAAGGATGAGGCAACTTTAGCGGAAGAAGTAGAATATGAGTCAGTATTACCATGCTGCTTCAGAAACACAATGGGACATATAAAAAGGAGCTCTGAAGTAATCCTGTCCTATCCAACCCAAATAAGTGGTAAACTAGAATATTATGACCAGGTTTGATTATCACATACTTGATAGAGGGTGGAAATGGGGAAGAAAGGTTCACTGAAGATTCAGGAAAGCAACCAAAATCACAAGAGATGTATAGAAAATGTGACTGATGAAAAAAACCCTGAGGGAAACTGACCGTTAAGTGTAACACTGCCTTAGGAATACACCATGATGTAAGTTTCAGGAGTGCAGGAAATAACTGAGGAAACGAGATATTGCTATGTACAGGACAAGAAGTATGTTTTCTTACAAGAAGTAACAAGAAGTTGTTCCTTGCTACAACTAAAAACTTTGTGAAGCATGGCTAAAGGACTAGAATGGATTGTCCAGGGAAGCTTAAGAAAAATATTAGATGTTTATCAGAATATCATGTATCTAATTCCATCATTAGGTGGCAAGAGACTAGGCTAATTCTTGAGGGCTTTTCAAACCCAGTATTCTGATGGCCAATCTTGTACTTTCTTAATGCCACAGCATAAGGACTATTTCAGGCAGAATACTGTAGTAGAATACCTACCACTGAATTACCTCTGGGAAGAGGCAAATAGTAAGTATTGCACAGTTGTAGCAGGGAGGCGAGGCAAAGGGAAATTCAGTCCCTGCAAGATTTGCATTGATTTTAGCCTTGTTTTGGTATACTTCTGTCATGAGTGTAACTCCAGCATCTTTCTCTTCTTCACTAAAAGGTCATGCTGCAGTTACCAACCAAACACAAGCTGTTTTTCCAGTGCCTAAATGCTACTGTCCTAGCACAGCAGCCAAATAATGCTTTGGATGCAATTATGAGAAGCTAAAAAAAAAAAAAAAAAATCTCAGAATTGGGTTTCCTAGAAAATCGTAATTGGCTATTCAAGCCACACTTGGGAAACATTTATTTGTAAAAAGGATGCATTTTGCTAAAGTCACAGCTAACTTCAAGTATACTACAAAAGCTGCTTAATGTAAAAATCTGACTTCTGCCCAATTACAGCACAGTTCATAACAATTGCCAGCAACTTTTTTTAATCACACTTGCGTCTGTTAGTGAATAGGGGGGGAAGCACAAAGTGCAAACACCTGGAAGAACAAGTGGTTTTCTTCATCTTATTCAAGACTAGCACTAAGGCACGTGATTCTGAGACACTGAATACTTTCAACTCACACTTGTTACTCAGAGATCAGCTATTTAAGGATTGGTAAATTGTTTCTTTGCAGACTACATCTCAAATCCAGCCTAAGCTGATGGTGCTTTTGAAAACTTAACCATTTGGCAATAAGATCACGACAGCTATGAGTAAGCTTCTAGTTCACCTGCAATGATGAAAAAAGGATTCACCTTGCACCTGACATTGCCAGGGTGACTGGTAAAGGTTCAACTATAGATAAACATTTTAGTTCTCATGAATATTCTACTCCACTTTTCTTTCCTTAAGATGACTCCCTCTAGGAGCTGCGTGAGTGATGCTAACAAGATGCTCAGGAGCTAAGTTCAGCACTGTTGCCTGTATACTAAGTTTTCCATAGCCTACAGAATTTCCTTGTGAGAAACATTGAACAAGAGTTCTAAAAACCCTTAAACCTCCCAATTCCCTCCACAAGCCCAACCAAAACAAAAGACGGTGAAAGCACTTGCCACCTTTTATATTTTTATTGTGCATTTTAAAAGTGCTTGAAGATACCAGAAAAGACCGTATACATTATCTGTATGTAATACACCACACAGTAAGACAGACCACCAAAAGTTTTCATATCCTAATTCAGACAAAAATTAGATAAAATATTATCTCATTATACAGAAGACAAACCACAGAAAGTGTCTTGGATCACACAAAACAAAGGCAGACACTGAAACAGATCTTCCAAAACTGTATATTAAGTCCATCAAAAATACCATGTGCTTTTGGCAGCTCTAAACCAGATTAAAAATTATATGACTCTAGTTAGGGCTTGTCAACTTAAAAATATTATTTAATAATAAAGTTTAATAAGTTCCCAATTCAGAATCAAATAATAGGTACAAAGGAAATAAACAAAAACCTTTTTCCTCCTTCAATATAAAATAACTGCCAGACCAGTTAGTCACAGATTACTCTTCTTTCTTTCATATACGGATGCATATAAATTCATAAAGTTATTCTCAGCAGATGAAAGTAAGTTGTCAAGATCATAATCAACTTCATAGGTAGGTGTCTCTCTAAAAATTACAAGAGCAAGAAATACAGCAAAGTGTGCAGTAAGTCCCCATATCTTGAATGACATTTCATGTTCATGGTCATCATATATAAAGCAATGCATCCGACTTGAGTAACCAGATGAGGTTTTATAAGGCAAGGACTTGTAATTTAAGGGCTTGATAAAGTACTCCAGTGGCACGACAAAAACATCACTCACTTCATCTGGATTAGGAGTGGCCTGGAATGTATCCTCTATAAATCCTACAACTGGTGTTACCAAGTGATTCATCTAAAAGGAAGAAAAAAAACAAAAAAACCCAAACAACAACAAAAACCCCCAAACACCAAGTTTGTACAAAGTAAAAGAATGTTCTTTATTTTAAAAACATTTCAGATATTATGAGTACAAGAAACCTATGAAATATTCTTAACTGTAATGCAGTTTAGTCTCTCTAATGGCAAGATATTTATATTTGATTTTAAATATATTTTAAGAAATTTTAAGATTTTATAGTTAAACGTGATTTTACTATTCATCCTGTATAATCATATAGCAGTTAAAAAGGTTTGTCAATAGGCTACAGAAACAGAAAACATGCATGCTCTCTCACAAGTCTGCCTTATTTATTTTGGTGAGTTCTGATTTTAATTCAAATTTTCCAAATTACCTATGCTTTATCATATATCTGTATCTAATTTCCTGGGATAGAGAATTATTTTCCTATAGATACAGCTATAAAACATATACACTTTTTGGAACTGCTTATTTTTATTTTAGATATAATCTCTTCTTCCATAGGGAGGCTAAATCTACTGAAATAGTAGCTTCAATAAACAGGACACCAAAATTCTTTAGAATATGTTGCTAGTTCTATATATTCATACCAGTAAAGCATCACTGTTCAATGGAAAGCAGTAACAGCAAAACTCAACATTTGTGCTGTTTGATGCAAGTCTGGAGAGATTCCATCCAAGTCAGAAACACTTGGAATGTACATACAGAGAAGACAAAGTAGAATCCAACAGGTAAAATCTTTGTGGTCCAAAACCACATGATCTTTTCTATTGAATGAGGCAATTTGCTGGAAAACACTGAAAAAAGTTATAAAAACTAAATTGATTCTTTTTACATATAGCCTCTGTACTATGTGGCTTTAATGTTGTCTGTACAGAAATTATAATTTAATAAGTTAAAGCATTTTGCAATATAATTTTAAAACTAGCTCATTTGGTTTTCTAATGGGGAAGGATATTACTAACAGTAAGTGGCTACAGAAAAACAAACAGTAGGCATATTAATAAAATGAAACCATTATCTGAAAAACAAGAATAAAGTCTTTTGAAATAGTAACCCCTCTGTACTATGGGAAAACAGATCCTATGTGACACTGAGTATTATTATTGAAATTGGCAGCCTGTTAATTTACAAACAGTGACTTACACTCCAAAGTAATGTCCAGAAGAGAAGGTGCTAGAGATCTACACAGAATCACAGTCCACATAACCTCTAGAGGTCCCCTTCTGCCTGAATTAACCCTGCTTTGAACAGAATATTCAATGAGAGAACTTCTGAGGTTCCATCAGGCTGCTGAGGGCCTTGTCCGCATGAGTTTTGCATATCTCCAAGGATGGACATTATACAGCCTGTTAGGAAAATCTGTCCTGGTGCTTGGCTAACCTCATGGTAAAAAGGGTATTTTCCTTGCATTTAATCAAAATTCCACTTGTTGCTGCTTGTGTCCGTTGTCTCAAGAGTCGTCCTGCATCATCTTCTCTACAGCCACACAGGAGGTACTTGAAGAAAGCAACTAGATCCCCTGCTAGCTTTCTCTTCTTCGGGCTGAGCAAACCCACTTCTCAGCCTCTCCTCACAATCCATGCACTCCAGCCCCCTTACTATCTTCGTGGCTCTCTGCTAAACTCTCACCAGTTAACTACTGTCTTTCTGGTACTCCAGTGTGTCCATAACTGGACACGGTACACCAAATGCAGTCTCACAAATACCAAATAACAGAACAAGAATCTCCTCCCTTTGCTCTGCTGGCAACACAGGCTGCACAGTTTACGGAGTGGTGGTTATTTGCAGTTACAGGTTTGAAAAGGTCATTATCAACCTTACAAAATAACCCAAGCTTATTTTCTGATGATATGCTGACTTACTCGGTTTATTGCTTACTTTATCAATTCCAGGCACAAGCCTACAGATGACTTCCACCTTCTCTGGCTGGAGTCCCACTTCTTCTTTAGCTTCTCGGAGAGCAGTATCAATTTCATCTTTATCAACCGCTTCACTTTTGCCCCCTGGAAAACACACTTCCCCTGGTGATCTTCTCAGCTAGAATTTAAAGAGTACTACTGTTAAATATAACAAGTCTGACATTTCTTCTTGGATCTACACAGGCACTTGTTCATATCGCAGAATTATTTTGTGTTTATCTTTCCAGTCAAAGAAGCTGGAAATGGTGGCTGAGATGTTCCTGCATCTTAGAAGAAATGTGCTTTATCAAGAGGCACACAAGAAAAAGTTGGGCCTACACCAAATTAACCTGTAATCAGGAATACACGTATCATTTGTACAGTATTATGTAATTCATACTATACATTCTGCTTCAAGACTTCGAAATTTACTTTTTTCATCATCTTGCTTACAGAGGACATGAACAGATGAAATCTAGACAGACAACTTGAATAGTGAGATTAAAATATTCAAGGTAAGAGCAAGACTTCTGAAATATACATTTAAGTAATGTACCTTTAAGTACATTATAGTAATAGGCTTATACACCAAAGATCTGTAAAGAGCCCATTTACAATCAGTTTATCAGCTAAGTAACTAGAATGATTAGGGCCCTAAAATTTGCAGGCAAGATCCAAAAAAAACTTTTTCAGCAACAGAAAAACAGAGAAGCAAATAATCTCTGAATACAGGCAGTTGATTGGGAGGGATGGAAAAACAAAGAATTGTAAAAGAAAACAGAATGCTGGCAGAAGAGTTCTGGGGACTTCGGCTGTTGCCTTTAACGTATGAAAGAGAGAAAGAGTAGTATTAAATGAAGACTGAAAGGCCACCACTAACCGAAGTTGCACTGCATTGTAATTTTTCTTATTTAAGCCATAGTAAAGAATCAAAGTTTCCTTTTCTGATCTGGAAATCATCTGTTACCGTCACACTTTTCTGGGAATCCCGCATTTTTCTGGCATGTAAATACCAGACTCATCGTTGTGTCAAAAGACCCGCTTGTAGCCTTGGGCCCGCTGCCTGGGCTGAAGGTTGAAAAGCAGGCGCCGCGACGTGTGGCGAGGCCGGGAGCAGGCGGGGGGGCGCTGCCCCACGCGTGTCCCTCGGCCCCGCCTCACCCACCTGCAGCGACCTGACCGTGAGCAACAGGTGCAGCTTCCCCTCCCTCAGCACCAGCGGCAGCAGGACGGAGGCTTTGGGCGGCGGCAAGCGGGAGAATTTGTCCCCAACGTCGAACTCCCTCAAGCGGAGCCTGGCTTTCTCTTTTACGCTCTTTCTGGAAGCAAAGGGAAAGGAGCGCCGTGACAGCCCAAGGCGAGACCCCGGCACCCCACAGGCAGCGGGGGAGGTGTTTTTCCACAGAGCTGACCCTCAGGGCCGCTGGCAGCCCCCCGGCCCCGCTGCGGCCGGCAGAGCCGGGCAGGGCTCGGAGCTCGGCGGCGGGTGCCCGGCCTGGCCCGGCCCGCAGCGGGCGCTGGAGGCACCGCCTCCCCCTCCCACACAGCCCAGAGCGCTCTCTCCTCTCCACCGCCTTCCTTCTGGGTTCGCCCCGCAGCGAGCGGAGCTTGCGGACAGGACGGCATCGGCAGACCACGGACAACCTCTACCTTTCCAGCTCACCCTCCCGCTCCGCAGCCGCCATCTTCGGCATCGCTCCGCCCACAGTGGACTTTCCCCTTCCCTGTCTCCTCCCGCCCCGTGACCGACGGCCGGTCTCTCCAATCGACACGCGAGATCGCCGAGCTCCGCCTTCTGATTGGCGGCGGGCAGAGGAACGCCCTCACGGGACGGCTGTGCGCGGCGTTCCCGCTCTAGGGCAGGTGGCACGCGCTGATGAGGCGGGCGCTGAGGCGAGGGCCGGGCCCCCTTCCCCCGAGGAGGGCCGGGCCCCCTTCCCCCGAGGAGGGCCGGGCCCCCTTCCCCCGAGGAGGGCCGGGCCCCCTTCCCCCGAGGAGGGCCGGGCCCCCTTCCCCCGAGGAGGGCCGGGCCCCCTTCCCCCGAGGAGGGCCGGGCCCCCTCAGCTGCCAGCAGTCCTCGCTCCGGCTGGGAAAAGCAGAAATTTGCCGGGCGGTTTGGCATCGCGCCACCGCGGGTGGCGTCCATAGCTCGCCCTCAGAGGGGCAAGCGCGGCGGCTGCGAGCGGGTGGCGCTGGGCTCCAGGATGAGCTTTAGGTAAGGGGCTCGTTCGTGCAGGAACTAGCATTTCTCCCTTCTTTAAGGGGCGGATAACGAGATAGATCGCAGCCTCCAGCCCTCAGGGGGCTTTGGGAAGTGCCACTGCACTCCTGTTAAAGCCTGGTCACCAGTAGCCCAGGACTCAAAAGCTGAAGGACAGGATCGAGCCCTGTTGAACACCAACGCCTAGCTCAGTGCTCTTCATTCACAACGGGGGAAAAAAACACCAGGGTCTCAGAGCTTCTTTAATAATTTGGTACATGTAGGAAACAAGGAGGCGTCAGATTGCCTCGAGCTTGGTGCGGTTTCTGGGCATTTAGGTTCTGGATCTCCTTAAGGACACAAGTAGCAGAAGTAATTTCCTGGTATAATGGTTTATTCTCCAGTCTTAAGAGCCAGTAATTAGTGTTTCTTGAAATGCAGGTAACACCACAATGGTAGAATCAACTCACGATCCCTCAAAAACAAGGCACAGCACTCAAGTTACCTGCAATGTGTAAGAACTAATTTCAGTATGGTTACCTTTGTTTACTTCTTTTTTTTTTTTTCATTGCCTTAAACTAAAGAACCAAAGGTGGTTTTCATGTGGTATGCACTTTGTATAGTTGACTTAACCTCAAGTCTTTAAATGCTTATTCATCTTACTTGTTACATAAAGTATTCATGTATATATATTTATACACACATGTAAAAATAAGTGCAGTTTATATATAATACACATAACGTGTTACTTCATACAGTAAATTAAACCCCAAATATAATTACATACACGTGTACATGAGCTGGCTGTGTCCCCTGTGATTCCAGCAGAATATAATACCCATTTTATGGCCAGTGTTCTGTTCAGGTTTTGGTGAATCTCTAGCAGAACTTGTTCACCTTTAAGCTGTTTCACCTAATCCTTATAGGAAAAAAAAAATCTATAGGATAAGATCTTAATAAAATTGTTGTAGTTGTTCAGTGAAAAGAGCACAAGTAGATTACTTCTTATTGTTCATCGACACAGCTGTACGTGCCATTGAACTGTTGTTCCAGAAGACTGATGTTATCAGATCCTATATTTCTCTTTGGCTTTCTCTTTCAGAATGCAGATGTGCTAAACAATAATAATTAAAAAAAAAAAAAAAGTACCATTTTAGTCAACCTTTACCTTCAAAGAAAATGCAAGAATGATTTCAGTTGTATTCCTAGCATTACAAGGCAAACCTCCAGAACAGTATCTTTGCAAGTCTGGTTGCAAGTTTACTGCTAACAGTAAAATTGAGATGTTAATATTGCTTCCAAACATCTGTAATTTATAGATCTGTATATTCTGAAGCAGTCAGGATTGTTCAATTATTGTATCCTTCATATTGCTTTGCAGTAGCATAGGTCGGGTATGTGTCTTTAACAGAACTGGTTTGTCTTATTAATAAGACTTTAAAGTGAAAAACTTTTCCACTTAACCAGACTTAAGCAAGTAATTTTGAAAACTAGGAAGGCGGGGGGGGGGGGGGGGGGGGGGGTGGGGGGGGGTGGGGCGGGGAGGGGAAAGATAAGCTCTTTCTAGCAGTTACACTCTTTCCAAGCCTACTACTTATTGCTGCCTGAGGAGACTGTAATGGAACAAAGGAAAGAAAGATCTTGATGGACATGTTATACAGTGTAGGAAAAACCTTCACACACAGTCTAGACACAGCCATCTTAAAGACTTGGCTACAAAAGGGCAACACTGGATTTCACCAAGACAGACAAACATCAAATTAAAGCCAAATGACAAGTTACTTTATTTTCAGATGGGGCCAGCAGATTGTACGCTGCCAACCATCCTGGAGGATTCAGATTCATACAGCATGGCTAGGCCAGAGGTCTTGTGGCGTAGATTCATAAAAAGGTAAGGCATAAACAAGTTCTTATACATTTATATTGAATTACCAGCTTGGCACTTAATAATAGTTTTGCCCTTTTAATGGAAATTTCTAGTGAGATTTGAAGTTTTGTTAATTGTTGAGAAGCTCTGAGTATAAGCTAATATTCTTGCTGGTTACCTGTGGTAACCGTCGCATACGTAACAGTTGAGGCACACATGTATGTACTTACATTTAGATCTCTGAAGTATTCATTATAATCAAGAGCATATCCAACTACAAATTTATCTGGAATTTCAAAGCCTATATCTGTAAGAAAATACAATTATTTTTATACTTGGGTGGTATAAATAGCTTTTAAGTATACAGTTTGTATTTCATTACATGATTCAGCTATTCAAGAGTAATACCTAACAAATACATCATATTGCTTTCAAGGTACTTTGTATGCTTCTTTAAGAATCAGAGCTTTAAATTGATGATAAAGGTTAGAATTTATATCATCCCCATCAGTGAGTAATACAATTAAAATGTTAAGAGAATGCATTTAGAGAACAAAATAAGTATTTAAAACGTACTTATGAGGTAGTCCTGGAAGAGAGAGACGAGCGAGATTTTACTTGTGTAAAAGTAGATGGCACTACTACTCAGTGGAGATTTTCAGTTTTCAGGATACAAGGCAAGTTTAATGCATAGTCAAAACAAATGCCTTTTAGGGTCAAAGCCAAACAATACAAAGTTATTTGATTCTGTTTCTGGTATCCTGTAACAAATAATCAAACACCTGCACTCAGACCAACCAGGGGGTAAAAAAGGAGGTGGATGTGAGGTTTCAGCATGGCATAATTGGTCGTCAGTTTACAAATTTTTATGTATTTTCTCCCCATTTCTCTTGGCCTTTCTGAAAATTATATGCCAGCTGTCAGACTTACTGCATGAAATGAAATTATGAGATTGTATTTTGGACAACCAGAAAAACACAATACTTACAGTCTGGTCTGTAACCTGGACTTTGACGCATCCTTTTAACGAGCAGGCTGTAAGACAGAGCAGAGAAGGTTATATTTTTTAAAATATGTCTTGCTCTAAGCTGGGTACTTCACTTCTCCCACCCCTCCCCGTAAGGTTCTACAATCATGCAGCTGAATTAAAACAATGAGATGATTGTAACAGAAATTAATGCTCAGACTTATAATTGAGGAAGAAGTGAAGGCTTTGATCTAGGTTCATTCTTAAGCTCCAAATGACTCTCTTGTTTTCCATTTGGTTCTCTTCAATTCTGTATCCTGAATCATTATGTTTTCATGTAGCAATGTATCAGCAAACCAGAATAGCACAGACAGGTAAGCAAGTTCAAGTGGCATGTAAAGATTTTAGTGGGGAGAGAGGGAGAAGCAGACAAGCTGTGCAATGTCACCACTGTTTCCTTCACAAAGTCATATTTATCCTTGCTTTTCCTGTGCACTTTTGATGAAACTGAGCAACTCCAGGACAGTCACTAGAAGGAGCATAACTGGTACATAAAGCAAGAAGTGTTTTTTCAAAGCATTGTGATTACTTGACAAGGACAGGCAAATTCCCCAAAAATTCCTTTTATAGACTATTTAAAAGATCTAGAGTGCCACTTGAAGTCATCTTGAAAGTGCTGACGAACTCTTAGATTCTGAAAACCTGTATGACTGAGGATAAGAAAAATTCTGAGTATTGCCATTCTAGTACTGAGGCAACTGAGGTGTTAAGAAGCCCATGGTAAGAGCTGAATTTCCTTCAGACATAAGGAGGTAAGAAACAGGGAATCTATCAGATTTTATGGACTATGCAAAAAGAGCCAGGAAGCTTTTTTTATTCATTATAATAATGAAGGTGGTAGTGCATATGTGAATTTTCCTGGCTTGATAAATACTTAGTTTTTCACCAGCTGGATGAGGATTGCTTCCTGCTCTTCCTTCCTCTTCCACCAAACTTCAAACCAAACAAAACCAGACACCCACCAGCATACACTCACTATTTACCTAGATGACTTTGCTACATCATCTCATTACAATGCATTAGTAAGTGGCCATATCATTATACCTGACAACTTTTACCATCCTTGGTTCATTGTCTTTTAGTTTTGCAAGTAGCGCGTTCATTGTTCTACCGGTCTCAATAATATCCTGAAAGAGATTAAAAAATAAATTATCCTTGGAGTCTGAAAGAAAAACCAGACTGTCAGTGGATTGACTTGAAGTCAAAAACCCATTCAGCAGCCCTTGCAGCATGGTAACATAATTAATTGTTGTTTTATATTTAGTATATGCTAACTTACAGAATGGGGAAAAAAAAAAGTCCATGTCATTCCCTCCCCCCACACTCCAATCTTTACTTACCTCTACTACTAACACATTCTGGAAAAGATCATGTAGGGAAGAGAAAGAAAAGAAAATATTTACATGGCAGCATTCAGTGAATTTTACAGCCAGGAAAAGTTTGCACCACAACGCTTCAGTTACAAGTAAGTTGCAATTGATTTTCAAAGGAGCTTGTCACTTAACTACTTACGTTATTTTAATGCTTTCTGATGAATCTTTCTCTAAGTATGGAAGCACAAAATACTGTGATAAAGCCACCTATGTCAGGTTTTATCTATTATTCTGTTTATAGGAATAGCATTCTAGAACCATACTGTATGAGTCTCTTTAAGGTGGTTTGTTTCTAGGGGCTGTGGGATAAAATGTGGAATAGGATCTTTAGAAGCATTCAGTACTGATCTTGTTAAGTTTCCCCTGAGATCAGTGGGAGTTACTCACTGTTTCAAAGCATGGCATTTTAAACCAGTGTTAAGTGGCTGTAAATATGTAGTATCAAAATCTTAATAAAGGTAGACTTCCTGGAAGATACACAAGAACTCTTCTTTCCCCTTAGAAGCTGAAGATGCTAATTCATACCTTGCCGTTTAGTGTAGACAGTTCTTCGCCAACAATACTGATTTTTTCTGTAAGTGAGTCATTCTAGATGGAGAAAGAAGAGAGGGAAGTCACAAAAAGCATGCTCAAAAGTGTTATCTTCTGTGTGTATGAATAGTGTGCTGCTCTTCTTGTTTATCACATGAGACTTGCAACTTTACGCAGCATTCCTTCAGTAAAACAGCTTTTAAGCATCTGAGAGCAAGAGGAGAGAGCGAAGCATCAGTGCAGACAGATGTTTTTATGGAACAAGAATGCATCCATATTCATGGAACAGACACCATTGCTTTAAGCTATTTTTGTTACCACAGATTCGTTTTAGAATTCCATGAAAAAATTATAGGATATTGTAAATTGTTGCATTTAGCATGGTGTATATTTTGATCAGTGCACAGAGCTCTAGCCTTCAAAGAGGGGAGAAGGTAAACCAGAAAAAATAGCATAAGTCATTGCTTTACAGTAATTGGTTCAGGCAAAAGATACCTGTTCCCCAACACACAGATTATAAAAAGTAGTTCCTCCAATAGTATCTATAGGAATAAAAAATAGTACAGAAAGAAAGAAACAATAAGCAAGTCTCTGATGCTAAGCTCATCTCCATACTCCCTCCTAGCAAAGAGTGCCATGGTAAAGACAGAGCAGAACCTGTATGGAAGCTTTGGGCTGGAGAGAAGGACATTGGAGATCTGCCCCAGGCTTTGTCATGTTAAGTGCTATGCTATATGTTCATTCCAGTGAATATACAGTAGTCTTCTGATCATTGGAGCAGAGCTGTAAATCAGTTATTTCTCAGTATGTAATAAATTGAGTTGCTTTGACCAGGATATATGCATAAACTCAATTTTTGTGTAATTTTCATATAAACTACTAGTATTCAGTGATTCAGTCAATGGAGAGAATCAGTTTTGCAAAGGCAAGACAGTTGCTTACACAGTAGCTTTTTATTCTAACAAAATCCACAGTAATAGGCACAGATGTATCACCGTTTTGATTTAGTGCTTTTATATGGTCCAGCAAATCAGCAAAGAATTTATAGCCTCCTTTAAGGACACAGAGTGCAACAATGTGATGGCTTCCCATATCTTGCATGATATCTCTAGCCAGACGTTCTGTCCTGGAAGGGAAAAAAAAAATGACAAAACAAGTCCTGTAAAGTGTTTTGTATATTGTATTTGTTTGTCCATATATTAAGCAATGTCCAAGTTAAAATGCTGATCTTGCTGTTAGGTTTTTATAACCAGCAAATTGTGACCACATTAAGATGTAGGGAAGTTAGCTACGTATTTGCTGTTCACAAGATGATGCCTACTCCACTGGACATACTGATGATTTAATCCGTGGATCTAAATAATGCAGGATAGGAAACCTTAAGAATATTTGAGATAACATGGAAACTTAACTGAGGTTGTAGAGGAATCCTCTCCTTAAAACTCCTCTTATATCAAACTCCAGAACACAGGTGTTACAGCTGCTGGGTTTCTATGTTTCTCATGGACTATGCAGGGTAGGGCCTCAGTCTTTTCATGTGGAGGGAAATGGACCATTGGCATCACTATGGCTACTCTTTGTTGTTTACTCTCATACCTGTCCAGGATGAGTCCATGAGGAATGAAGACTCTTTCCAGATCTTCTTCATAATGCTTAGGAATGCAAAATAGATTTTTGTTATAACCACTTTCTTCATCTCTTATCTGCAAGTGAAGGGGAGATAGCTCTAAGAGTAAAACCAGAGCCACACAGGGAAAAACCTTCCAGTCTCTGATAGCGCAGAAAAAGAGACTCCTCTCCCCACCCCACAATAATGTCAAAATAAAAAATATCTAAGGTTTTGAACTTTCTGATAGAACAATTCACAATCTGTCTGATAATTCGGGAGCTAGTGTGCTTGTCTGAGATGTGAATGGATAGTTAATCACTTGGCCCCAGTCTTTATAAGAGAAATTCTCAACCATCAACTCAAAAAACTCCCTCTTGTATTCTCCATTTCCCCTTCTGCAGAGCACAGTAGCTTGCTTGTGTGGTAGACAAGCAAAAATTAAAATTTGAGGCAAGTAGATTGGGATTACAGCTTCATCTTCAGTCAGCAGGTGACTGTGGGATGCTGCACTAGCTTGACCATCATTTTCCATTGTGTGAAAGAAGAAACTCTCTCTCCTAAGTGTGAATTCAGAACTGAACTTTTGGCAGAGGTAAGCCCATACCAGCCATCTACTGTCTCGGGACAGGGGAGATGATTTACCCCAAAGGGGAAGCTTTGAGATGGTAGTGGGAAGAGGAGAAGCTGCAGAGGGTGCTCATAGGTGGGAACCAGACACCTGCAGAGCTGCAGTGCAGCTCCATGTGCTGTTTGCCCTGTTAGCAGGTTGCTTCTCAGCACGGCTGGGGGGAGGCCATAGCTACTTCCCACAGGTCAGGGCCTTAACCCTTTGCCATCAGTGTTCAGAATTACAGTTTTCTTCAACATGCTGGCTCCAGGCTGTTACACACAGAGGTGTCTGGATGTCTAGAAGTTAGGTAGTCTCTATTTGGGCTTCTCTTCTGACTAGTCTTTTGACCTGAAACAGATCTGTGTCTTTGGATTCTACCACCCTTCAAGACCATAATGGATGCTTTGGTCTTTGTTCATTTATGAAGTGGTGGTACAAAAGCAGGCAAGAAAAAAATATAATGAGGTACAAGCAGTTGAATAGGGGGGCTAATATGTAAGCATTAGAAATAAGAAAAAACTAAAATTAGCGCGATAATCATATTTAATATTGCTCTGTTATTGTTTAAAAATACAGAACTAATTGAAAGAAAAATTCAAAGCTGGCTTAAGGTTTCACTAGCGCAAAATAGATTAGCTACATGCCAGTTGCATTCAGGCAAACTTGATGCAGTGGCCTGCTAATGGACAGCATAGAGCTATGAACGAGGCACTAATAGCATTAACTATTTCTAACAAACAAATTAACACGTGCAAACTCTTTAGATAGATGAATTGTTTTTAATTCTCCTTTTTTGGCATAGGAAAGATGAGTCCTTAGGAAGAAAGGAAAAATGGACCGTAGGGAACAGGAGTAGGTTATTACTTGCAAAACTCATAGAAGCCACAGAAATGAGATAATCAGTTACTGCCATTTATTTTAAACTGGCCACGAATAGCCTGCTTCATTTAAAGATAAAACTAGAGAGACAGATGTTAACAAAAATTTCAAAGAACAGATTATTTTAGTACAAGGCAATGCTACAGTATCTCATCCTGGCTGAACTAACCTTATTCTGCAAGTACTCAAAATGAATAGGCCTTGATGTTCCAAGTTAGACTTAGAGAATAGCCTTGCAGTTGAGCATTGTTTAGAGTGTCAGCAGTACTGTTTTGCCTGGTTTAGTTACTATTTTTTTCGTGGCTGAAGTCAGCAAAGTGAAAGCTTAGGTGAGGGATTGTTTTTAAATTAAGTCTGTTTGTACTTTATTAATCTTGGAAGATATATTAGACAGTAGCACCTATGAGCTCGCTTTAATGCAGTGCAGAACTGCAGAACTGCTTGCTGTTGTTTGGATGTTACATTAACCCCATTGGCCAGTTCAAAACCGGCTAGTTTCTGCCTGTGTGAGGTTGCTAGTGGTGACAGATGGAATACACATACAGGATATGGGATTCTGTCAACAAGAAGCAGTGATGATAGGACATAATTAGAAGCATTGATCAAAGTTAAAAAAACGTGTTTGAGACTACTGGAACATATAAGCATCTTTTTCATTTAGAGCACAGAACAAGCACCTTTGAGGATAGTCACTGACATAATAAACAGTTTAAAAAGTGCTGTAGGGTGGGTGGTTTGTTTTGTTGTGTTTGGTTTATTTTTTTGCAAGATCCCCATCTCTATTGCATTCTACATAGCTGCAGCTTAAATACAGTGACCACGCTACCTACAATTTGAGCAGTTTTTCTTTTGCTCAATAATGATACTGATTGCCATATTTAATGGACTTCAAACTTAGAATTTGCTTTTGCAGTTACAATTTGGCTTTCATCTGCACAGCAAGTTAAAAGTTCAGCCTTGTTGACAATTAATTTAGCTTCCAGCTGCATATGAGGAGAGGCATCACAAGTGGTTTAGCTCAAGTGAGGGATGAGCTTTGTCCATGTGACTGTAACCATTGAAAAAATCTAATCTTGAAGCATAGAGGTGTGCATAGTGATTACTGCTTATAACTAGTCCAGCAGTGTAGTTTAGTATCTTTTATTTTGTTAACAACTATGGTCATTGACGCTGTTTTGTGCAAACTATATCTTCTACATTAATATCTCGTTTGTTGCTATGTGCAAAGCATTTTTTAAGGTCTGCTGAAAGGTTCATGGACAGAACCTTAAGGATTGCATCAGTTTGAGCACATCACCATAGCAACATGCTGCATATACCTTACAGGCTCATAAAAGTATTTGTATTGTGGCACATGCTAAATAATACAGCAGCATCCTGTTATAATAAAGCAATCTACTAAACTATGACACAAAGTCATTAAGTTTTTAAGTCATGAGCTTATAACTTGAGGAATTACTTGTTTAATTTAGATTCAGTCTCATCTGTTGTTCATTTACCTACGTAGGTTTTTGAGTTTAAGAGGGAAAAAACCAACAAAATAAACTACAGCGATTTTGTACAATCAAGATTGTACGAACAATAAAAAAAGTATTGTTTCATCATCACAGAATGAAAGAGTACGAATATATGTATATTATAGTCAAATAAATAACATCATAAGTTTGTAAAAAAAATTGAGTCTATTGATGCCTCTGTTCTGAAAGCCAGTTTTTCTCCTGAGTAAATATAAGAAACAAGGCCTTTCTTTAGTCAGCATTTCTAATGTTTGACTATTTTTGCTGAAGCCAACCTCTTCCCCCACACCCAAAGCTCCCTTCAATCAAATAAATAATCAAATATGAGTGCATTGTGTTTTCTTACCTTCAGTCCATGAGCCATAATCTTACTTTGAACTACGCTATCGGAGAATGAGTTGGTATTATTACTGCAGTTTGTCTTGCTGTATTTTCATCTTGCAGTCAGATCATGACCTGCTTCTAAAAGGTCAAAATTGCCATCCTTCCTACAGGAAGTATTACTTCCTTCTACTAATGCACTGACATCACAATCCCAGGTTCTTAATCAGATTAACCAGAAATAAAATAGCATTAGCCCTGCTGCAACCAATCAGGTGAAGATACGGGGAATGAAGGAGATGCAAAAAGGAAGCTCATGAATCAGATTAGTGGGAAGGACCATGTAGGGTAGTGGGTTTTTAATTGAAAACACAAATCAGATATTTGATTGTAGCAGGTGGCAATTCAGTAGTATATGTGTAGAAGGTAATTTTATATACCATTTTCTTACACAGTATTTGCACATACGTTACTGTGATAAAGTCTACATCTTTTTAAAATTATTGTGCTAAATTGCTGTCAAAAATTAGTGTTTGAATAAACAAAGCCATATTTTTAAAGATGACTTGAAGCTGAGGTCTGCAGCTGTTGGGACATGGTGAACCCTGTCTGACATTCTTCCAGGTTATCCTTTCATAAAATGAGGGGGTGATAGTTCCAGTAACATGCTTCGCATCATTTATAATCAAATTGTGCTGACATTCACTGTAATCTGACTATTTTATTGTACTGAACTGCACTGTTATCTGGGATTAACATGAAAGTCTTAGATTTCTAAAATTAATCCTGCTAAACAAAATGAGCTAAAGCCAGCTTGCATACAACATGTTACAGAATGTTCAGACCAGATTGGGTACATTTTATTAATTCAACTATGTTAGTGTTTTGTTGGAGAGAGGGGACATTAATGAAAGAAGATTGTTCATGTTTCTTTGTAGTTTTACAGATGCTCTTCAGATTGTGGCTGATAACACTTGGGATAACACAGAAATGCTCTTCCAAGTGGATTAATGGGCATATCCACAGCTTCCAGTGATATGTTGAATAGCAGTACTATTTGGAAACAATTAACGCCTTGAGGCTACTTGGCCCCTATTTTATGCAGTTAGCAATACTTTCGTTCTATGTATTTCCTATCATCCTCCCTACCTTACATGTGTAAGCTCCCTATCTTGTGAAAAGCCTTGTTTTTCTCTGATTCCTAGTGTAAAGCACTCCTTTCTAGCTGGTAGTAACTTGTGTTCAAAAACCTGGAGAATTTCCTCAACAAGATCCTCCTTTTAAAGGAAAGATGAACAAAGACCATGCATGTAAACAGTGATGGCTATTGCCTGAGCAGAGATACTCTCCCTTATTCTCGGGTGCCAAAACAAAGGTGAACAGCAGCACTTCTGAGGAACTCATGCAAACATACATTGCCTTTATGAGTGTTTGTGGAGAACAGTGAGAGAAAGAAAAGAGGGGGAATCCCAGGCTAGTTGGTATGTTTCCCCTCTTCTGAGCTTTTCAATCAGTGTAATTTAGCTGTCCTGAAAGGATGTTGGTACTCCAGAGAGCCCTGAGAGGATGATGCCATGATAGAGTGCTGCAATATTGCTCATACCGACTGCCCATGTATCACACCTACAGCTTTACGTGACTAGTTCTAGGATTTAAATAATACTTTTTTTCTAATTATCTACAGGAAAAAAAGACACATACGGGTTTCATGTTTGTTGGTACTCATGTAGTTTTCCACATTTAAACAGAATTTAGTGTAGTTTTGCTAAAATCAACAGTATGTTTGGGAATACGTGTTTTAAACCTCTTTCTAGTGAAGGAGTTAATTATTGGCACTATCTCTGTTTACAGTTTCCAAGTCTAACTGAGCACAGTTACTGAAATTACAGTGAAGAAATAAATATCGTGTGCATATCTGATATGATCTGTATCACCGAACTTAGCTCTCTCCTTTTATTTGAATGCTCTGTTCTTCTCTACATTATGTAACTTTTTGCATGTTTAATCTCTATATAGGGAGACTGTGACTGCAGATCACACGTACTAGGCAGCTTTGTCTCTGAACAGGCCACCTTAAACAAGTATAATATGTATGCTTTGGTTCTGTCTGTTAGAAGACCACCTCTGTTTTGTAAATTACTTTAATAGATCCCTGGAGGCTTTACTGACTTTATTTCTGCTGTTTTATTTGTATGGTTTTAGCATGGAACAGTTGTATAATACAACCAATTTATTTTTGCTGCATTGGAAGTATTGTCTGATCTACAAATAAGCAGTGACTTTTTGACTAGAGTCCATGTTTAGAAAGAGCAGAAGAATTGCATTCATAAGGGGTACATGCATATATATGCATGTATTATATGTAGAGTTATATTAATATTAAATTTTCTTAACAAGTACTGATTTCTCTTTAGAGAAACTGACAACAAAAGAGACTGTTGTGACATTGCTTTGTGATGTGAGCATCTGTTCAGCTGGAATAAGATTCCTCTAGTTGAACTGGGAAAATAAGTATATTGTACTAAAATCCCCCTAGATGGAAAATGTCAGACCGGCTGCCATGTGTCCTCCAAAATTTTATGACAGGATTCATGAGAAATAGTCAGGTCAACAGCCCACATGGGGAAAACAGTCGATTTTGGAACTCCGGGAGACTTGGAATAGAAAAGTTTGGTGTTGTGAAAAACATAGTCTTTCATTATACTTTTAAAGCTGGTTCAAGAAGCCTCTGCTTACTCTATCTGAAACTCAGAAAACTACTTCCCAGATCATATTTATTTGAATAAATTTAGGATTCTCAGTAAATTGCATAGAACTGTAATAGTAACCACATACCACTATCACCTGGCAAGTACTTGAAAATCCAATAAATGTGTTAATGTTTGCAATTAGTGGGCTGAAATTTGCATTATGAAAGTTACTGTTACAATGAATGTTTTTATAGTCACTTCTGAAGAAAGAAAAATTCACAGGTGAAAGGTTCATGCTAAGACAGTGTCCTGGTTGGTCCATAGCAGACAGCCCTTTGTCATTGCTGAATAGTGAAAATGGAATGTAGCCAGTTGGCATCCTTAGATGGTTTCTCAGTTGTAAATTATGTGATTATACTCCTACAGGAAAGAGCAAAAAAAGTTTAAGTGTGTATGAAAGTGTTCTGTATAAGAGCCCCAAGTGCATCTTTTTACAGTCAAATGTTTTGAGGAAACCAATGCACCAAGCAAGTTGGGTTTCAATCTGTTGCCCTCCTCTAAATAACAGGATACTGAAAGAGCCAGTAAGTGTAGCCCATACAGACAGACTGGAGATTAATTAGATCAGCACTGATAGCTTGGTAGAACAGCTGCCAGTCAGTACAGAATAATACTGCTCTTGTCCTTGTATCTATTCCCTGAACTAATGAATCAATATTTAGTTTTTTCAGGACATGATCTTGCTGTTAGCATATCTAAGTTTGTTAAATAGTTTTATGTTGTGTTACAGGTTGAAGTAACTGATCTTGAGGCCGCTGCAATAATTTTAAAGGTCCTCAAGAAACATTGTAAAAGCACTAATTAAGTCCTGTCAGGCATTTCGATTTAATTATTTTAAATCAGAAAGCGAAACCATGATACCGGTTGTATTATACAACTGTTCCATGATAAAACCTTACAAATAAAACGTCAGAAAGTGTCCACTAGAGGGAAGCCTCTACCATGGAAGACAATACGTGCCAAAGGGGAAGAGAAACCTACATTTTGTGAAGCAAACTTTCTAGTCTAAGAAGCTCTGTGTTCAGTTAATAAGTATACAGATTTCTCAATGAAATGTAAATACAATCAGGTAATTTAAAACAGGCATCTTAAATATTCAGACCAGTTCTGAGCTTGTATAATTGTGGATTACAGGAAAACTGCTCTGACTTGCACCACTGAAGACTTGACCCATGGGCTCCATGTTCCAAGTGGCTGAAAAAACCTTAAATTAAAACTGAGCACTTGTATTCAGTGACTGATGTGTTATTAGGAAACCTGATTAATACACTTTGAAATGGCTCAACTTCAGTAATTTGGAGCCCATCCAAAATCTATTTTTTATTTGGCACATTTAAGTCCTAGATAAGACCAGGTGCTTAATTGGTTTGCTGAAAGCTGTTTTAAAAAACCACACTGCACATCCCGTGGTAAACAGTGCATGTTTACAATTAGAAATTAGAATCAATTTCACTTTATAAGTCTTTATCATATGTACTCCTGTAGATTATGTAGCTCTTTTACATAGCAAATTTAATGAGCATGAATCTTCATACTTTCCTTGTCTATTTTCTGTCTAGTCTGAATATGAGATTTTTATTATTTTACTGAAACAGAAAAGTGATCTAAGTCTTGACCAATATTGGATATTTATAAATGTTGTGCTGGAAAAGGTCTGCTTTCACAGCTCCTGTAACACCCCCAACATCTAGCAAACACAGGCTGATTGATGGCAGAACTTGAAGGAAACACCCCTGTTAAAGACGACTCAGATTTAAGTTTGAATAGTTCTTGAAAATACCCTGATTCCAATTCTGAAATAGATGAATGACAAATTCTTCATACTCGAGACATTCAGATTGCTGACCTGGAGGAAATGTGCAATATTTATTAACAGTGTTTCTGGCCATAACATAAATGGTGGAGTGATTGTGTGGAGGAAACTTTTATATACTTTTGCTACATTTGTTTTGTAGATAGGAAAAATGTTTCAGTCTCCTGGACTGTCTTTATTATAAAGGCATTTTGAGAGAGGATCTGATTAGGACTGGGGCAATAGAGCATAGAGACAAGAAATCGGGACTTCTGGATTTTATTCACAGCTCTGACAAACAGCTTATTTGCTGTATGACTGTGGCCAGTTTGTTTTCCCGACTGCTCCCTGTTATACCTCTGACCTTCCTGTGTGCCTGCTTTTCCTCCATTGCCTCCTGTAATCAGATGACCTTGGTTTTCTGAGACTTCTTTTTTGTGGGCTATGCAGGTCATTGTTATTTTTAGGAAGGTGCCATTTAAGTAACACTGTTGCTGTCATTAAGTTATGGTCAAATTAATGATTTGAAAAAAGGTTGTGGTCTCTTGACTTGAATGTTAAAATTCAGTTGTTATAGTTTAATATGTCAGT